AACCGCAATCCAGCAATATGAAGGCCTATACTGTGAATGAAAATCCCTTCAGAACGAGCATCATGTAAACAGTTCAATCAGAAAAGCACCCGGTCTGCGCATGCTCTCTCTTGACTCAAATGCGTTGAGGTTGTCGAATACGCGCTTTAAAAAGGCAGCATCTCACTAGACCTCACCTGTGACTGGCGAACTTGTTTTTAAGTACTCATAACTTGTGTTTATCAAGATGTTGAGGATATGTGTGATGGATACACGCATACAGCACATACTCTAGCACAGTGGCTCTTCACCTTATTAGAGGTACCGAACCCAACCAGTTCATGTGCACATTCATCGAACCCTTCATTACTGAAAAATAAAAATCTGATTCAAGAAGTGTTCCTTCAGTTTTGCCGATGCGAGACTAGAGTTGCTCAACTTGGCATGACAAATGATGCAGATAGGATGCCGAGTCCCATCACTTTTCGTGATGCATGTGAATCCATGTGATACATATTCGTCCGACCACTTTGGGTTTTTTTGCTCGACATAGTTACATGTATTAAAACATTCTAAAAAAAACCTCACACGACGTACTATCACGGCCGTCACATGTTGACTACTGAGCGAACTAAATTTCCCGCAGCACTGATTGGACAAGCAATCTAATGTTATCATCTGCAGCCAGTGATGGCCAAGCGGGCGTGTCATAACTAATTGACCTGTTGAGTCGGGTGTGTCTTAACCTCCATGGCAGAGGCTCCGTCGAACCCTTGAGACCGATTCACCGAACCCCCGGGATTCGATCGAACCAAGGTTAAGAACCCCTGCTCTAGCACATATGAAGAGAATGAGGATGAAGTGATAGGAAATGGTCAATGTCTTGGCATTTTTGAGTAAAAGATGCATGTTTCTGTTTTCAAAAAAGCTGATCCATCATTATTTGTGTGAATTGCCTGGTCTGAAGCATGCTCCATTTGTGCTCAAGAGTAAGAACATATTGACGATTGACTATGAGTCAAGTGATTGAAGATTGATGTTTCACGGTGAAGACAGATGAGAGAGAAGTGTACCATGATTGAGCACATTTGTCACATAATTCAAATGGTAGGTGAGTCAGGCACAGTACAGTATTTGATAATACTTTTACAAACTGGATAAATATGAGGGAACTCTTGGACCAAATGCTGGTGGCATAAGCTGGTCCTATGTATGATAGTGCTGTTTATTTCTGACCCACATTCGCGTAATAAACTTCAGCGTCTTAATAAACGATTCCCAAGAACTATAAAGAAACCAGCATTCCACGCATAAAGCTGAATTGAGGTTAGCCTTGCAAGCTATTTCAAATCTAAAGAAAGGCTCTCTGTAGTGCCGGGGTAATCCATTACCCTTTTTTCACGAAGAAAAATAAAAGCCACAGGTTTCCTTCCAGCCTGTGGCTCAACTGACAGAGTTGTAGTTCTATTGATTCACAAATTCCCATAACGCTCAGGAGTAATGACTTCATGAGCTACTTTGATAATAAAATTCTTACTTTCGCAGACAAAATTAATCATGTCCTTTGCTCAGCACAGACCAATTTATCTTTAAACACAGTCACTTTACAGGTAGCAAGAAAACACATTATTTGTTTGGACTGATTTTCTCCCATTATTTCAGGACAAACAATTTATTCAATGAAACTATCAACTTGTCTTTTTGATCCCTTTCCAGTAAGGCTTCTTCCAGGTGCCTGTTCGAACTTCTGCATTACTCATCATCAATTACTGTAGTCTACAGGGGTCAAATTCAAGGCCTGGGGCCTGATTCAGCATGACACATCACTTTATCTGGCCTACTGAAGCAAATAAAGTATGCCTACTTCATGTTCCTTGCAAACTATGGTTCATATTTTATGTTGGCAGAAACCTACAAACTTTGCAATTCTTCACGTTTCACTCAAATTACAATATTCCGGGTTGAGAGTGGGAGGAGTCACTCAGGTTTATGGAAAGGGTAGCGGGGGTGGGGCGGTGCGAAGGATGTGAGTTTGGGCACAACTTGAGAAAAAAAAAAATCACTAGCAGTTAACGAAGATTGACAACACAGTACTGTAAAAGTTTCAAGTCGACATTAGATTTGTCATGTTATGTCAGTTATGGAATAGAGTACACGAGTGCTGGGCAATGAGTTTTGCACCTGACCCTTCAGTGGGTATTTAGTGATGCAATTAACCTCTATAACACAGGTGTCAAAGTCAAGGCCCGGGGGCCATATCTGGCCCGCCACATCATTTTATGTGGCCCGCGAAAGCAAATCAAGCATATCAAGTTCTATGATGCTTGCTAAAGTCTGAACCAAAATTTCAAATTGTCACATGTAATCCACAATCACAGTCATTATTCCTGACTTCTGATTTTAAAACTAGTTATCCCTCAATTTGTTGTGCGCTGTGTATGTAATATGTGGAGGTGTTTAAACATTTATATGGTTTCCCAAAATTCATACCGGCCCTCCAAGGGAAACCGTAACTACAATGTGGCCTGCGATAAAAATGAGTTTGACACCCCTGCTCTATAATAATGCCATAATGTCACACTATGCCCCCCACCCAAAAAAAAAAAAAAAAAAACACTATCCAACTATGGCTACATTCGCATTGCAGAGCGTGTTATCAAACTGTTCCTAAAAACACCTCTAGATTCGTTGACGATTGTATCGTCGCCCAAGAACTCACCCGCACGCATCGATATGTATGAGGCCGATGTGTGGCATTAAAGAGCATTTGGGGATATCACCAAAAGGAAAAATAATCCGTTACCTTTATCTTCCTATAAATCGTTTGCTCGTGTCAGGCCTCTATAGAGCTTTCTGATGAGCTGACTGCTTGAATCGGGTGCGTTGGAGTAGGGAGGGATCGAAAACAGGTAGTATATGGCTCTTGAGGAACCAGAATTCTCTACCCCTGCAGTATGCATACAGTATTAACCACAAAAAAGTAAAGTATATGTACACATTTACAGTGCATGCAAAACAACGTATGCAAAAAAAGCTAACTGCCTTGTCACAAATTAAGCCAAGCCAATTATTTTCACTAAATAAAAAATAGAAAGAAATGTTCCCCTTTGAGGAGTAATGAATGAAATGAAGAATGAAATGAAAATCAAATTAACAGCTGCGATTGCCGGGTACTTGGTGGGTGGAAGTATCAAAGAAAGCCTCCGTTTTTAAAGGTGGCAAAAGGGTCTTCTCTGTTGTGACTCAGTGCATAATGACTAATGACATGGATTTGGGTCACAACACACTAACTGTTTGCTCTGAAATACTTTT